GATTCTCCAGCATCTGCAGTTCCTACTATCTCTGAAGCTTTTCATGCATTTTGTTTTAGAAGAAAGGAAAATAACACCAGGAAGAGTACAAGCAAAACAAATTTATTTAAATATTGTCACAACTATAGTTTATCAGTAATATAGTGTACTTTTAACTTTTAATGTCTTGCAGAATGACTAATGTTAGTAGACAAGTATTTTAAAAGTTTCACATATACAAATAATACTTTTACATTTTAACAATTGCTTTATTTCTAGAATTTTAAAGGTTAATGGCTGCTGTAGCGTTTTACATAATTTCATTCGGTAGTGGCAGATTCTTTTCTGTTTATTTAAAGAAAGCTTTGAGGTTGTAGACTTGCTCGCTGAGCCGGTGTGTTTGTCGTTTTGTCACTCTGCTAGGTAATATCGTCAGTGCGTCTCCGCTGAAGTGTTGGCATTCTGTCCCATTTATTACTTATATGCCTCAGTTTGCTGGGGTGGTTGGCATCACTTCCAGTTCTGTTTTTCAGTGGTTTGTATATCGGGTCCAGTTCACTGTTTGTTGATGGAGTTCCAGTTGGAATGCCAGGCCTCCAGGAATTCCCTAGCATGTCTCCGTTTGGCTTACGCTAGTATGGATTTTGTTGTCCCAGTTGAATCCCTGCCTTTCATTGTCCCCGTGTATTCAGACTAGTGAGAATTGGTCATGTGTCTTTGTGGGTAGTTAGTGTTTGTGCATCCTTAATGTCAGTTTTCTTTCCAGTTTGGCCTATGTAATGTTTCTCACAGTCCTTGCATGGTATTTTGTATATTACATTAGTTTTATTGGTTGTAGGTGTGGGATCCTTTACATTTGTCAGTAGCTGTCGTAGGGTGGTTGTTGGTTTGTGGGCTACCCTGATACCTAGGGGTCTGAGTGGTCTTGTGGTCATCTCTGATGTAAGATAGGGTGACTAGTGTGTCTGGCCGTGTTGTGTCTTCTGTTGTGGTCTGTCGCGGACATAACAGCGGATTGTGCTTTTTGGATATCCGTTCCTTTTAAGAACTCTGTATAAGTGCTCCTGTTCTTTTTTGCACAGTTTTGGGTTGCTGCAGTGTGTTGTGCCTGTTTGAATAACGTTACCCATAAACAGAGCTGCATCAGGACATTATTCAGACGGGCACAACACACTGCAGCAACCCGAAACTGCGCAAAGCAGAACAGAGTTTTTAAAAGGAACGGATACCCAAAAAGCACAATCCACCATTACTTCCATGACAGACCACAACAGAAGACACAACACGGCCAGACACACTAACCACCCTATCATACATCAGAGACATATCAGAGATGACCACAAGACCACCCAGACCCTTAGGTATCAGGGTAGTTCACAAACCAACAACCACCCTGTGACAGCTACTGACGAATGTAAAGGATTCCACACCCACAACCAATAAAACTAACGTACTATACAAAATACCATGCAAGGACTGTGAGAAATTATGTAGGCCAAACTGGAAGAAAACTGACAATAAGGTTACACAAACACCAACTAGCCCCAAGAGACGCGAGCAATTCTCAATAGTTTCAACACACACGGACAACGAAGGGCAAGGATTCCACTGGGACAACAAAATCCATAATAGCATAATCCAAACTGAGACATGCCAGGGAATTCCTGGAGTCCTGGCATTCCAAACGGAACTCCATCAACGAACACATTGAACTGGACCTGATATACAAACCACTGATAAACAAAACTGGAAGTGATGCCAACCACCCCAGCAAACTGAGGCATAGAAATAACAAGTGGGACAGAACACCAATGCTTCACTGGAGGTGCAGTGACGATGTTACCTAGCAGGGTGATGACACGTCTGCAACCAAATCCACCGGCTTAGCGAGCAAGTCTACAACCTCATCCACAAACCGAGCTACAAATAGTCTTAAAAACTTTAAAGAAAGCTTTATTGTGCATTAATTTGCATGCCTCTTCAGATTACTTAGCTTTACAGTTGCAACAACATCATTTAAGTAATAATGACTAAGCCTTTAGTCATGACAAATACAAAGACAGGCTTCTGGAATGAAAGACTTATCTGTAGAATACAGGTATATTATTTCAAATGATTAGTTTGCCAAAGAATGATAATTTGTATCAAGGTCAATAGAATTTCATTGCGAGAATGTCTATTACTTAAAGAAATGTGAAAAACAATCCTCGTGACAACTAAGCATCCTCAGTAACTGATTTTGAGAATCTGACATTGTCGGTTGAGAGAGAAGAGTGTTTTTTTTCTGGAAAAGCACAATAATCAAAAATACAACTAAGAATCAATTACTGCTTTCAGTAAAGCAAAGGGACAAAATTTAAACTGTATATAATATAGAAAATACATTTTAAAATTATACTGGACTTTATTCTGACTGACAATAAAATTAAAATTACAGTAAGCTGCAATATAATTCAACTTTTTCAAACACCAAAATGTAAACAAAGATCAGGAATAAAATATGTTATATTGACCACCAAGAAAAGGCACTTTCAACCATTTCCTTGGTACGAGATGGCACATTCTACAATAGCACAATTTACTTCTATTCAGTAGGTATTTTTGATGAGCATTCATATGTTAAAGTGCAGCACAAACAAAATTTGTGGAAATATGACAAATGAATAAAAATAGACTATTTGTATATAAACATTTTAAACCAGGTACTCTGAATCAGTAAGTGAATTGTTATGACGTATTCTCATTTATGGAGATGATGGAGTTGTCGTCTTCTTTTAATATTGATGTCCTGGGTTTTAATCGAGTGAACAACCATGTGAGAATAGCCAGAACAATTTGGACAATGATTCGTAAAAGAACAAATGCAAAAGGAACAATGATCTGCATCATATGGAAAATTTCAGTACTAAACTTACTTAAAATATATGTAAGGCAGAACGTAACAAAGGCCACCGAAGGATAAAGTGAAAGTTTGGCAAACATAAATGCGTGTTCTCTGCCCCCATACCAAATATGGTGATGTAGGGTTTCCTTTTCATTGTAAAGTGCTACAGCCCATATTGCAAACTGAAAGAGACTTGCAAGAAAAATTATAACACAACTGATTTGAATGGCCTCAAGTTCATTTCGTGAGTTGGAAGCAAATTCATGGGTAAGCCGAAAAGCCAATGGAAGTCCACCAATGAAAGCCAGTGAGACGGTGTTCAGGAGCCCCATTAGTCTTGTTGACTTAGTGATGTACAGAAAGAGTGAATGATGAACAAACCAGAGAAGGCCAACAGTCACAAATGAACCAAAATAAGCCAGAAATTCTGGACCGTACTCACTAAGTGCTTCAATAAGTTTGCCATTGAACTTTTCTACAACTTCTTTACGGTCAGGGACATTGTCCTCACTGCAACAAGAATATGCCAAAATAGTTACAACACATCCTAAAACCATTAATTCACTTCATGGCTAATGTTATACAAAATCAGTATTTATATCTTGCTTTTATCATAGGAACATACCATATGTTGAACAATTAAAAGTTACTAAGTTGATGTTTAAGTCAGAACAGGAGAGATTACTAAAGTTGACAAAGCCTTGGAGAACAAAATAGGTTGCTCCTCTTGACCCCAAATTTCAATACATGCATTCCTAGATTATTAATCCAGAAGACTGGATTAACAAAACATAGAACCTGAATTCAAATCTGACAAAAACAGTTTGAGAATTTGAATTCAGTTAAATAGAAGTCTATTAGCAAAGGTGACAATGAAGTTGTCGTGTAAAGCCAACAATCGCTTTCTCAGTGGCATGTGGAAGTGGGGAAATAAATGCTAACCTTGCTACTGTGGTTTTCAATTCTAGCATTTATTTTTTCAAATTACACACTCCATTTATTTTGTAGATTACTCACCACCATGCTTTCCTTGGCCATTAATCGCAGTGGATAAAAATGATGATAAAAACACCACTACTTTCAAATGGGCTTCTTATAATAGATATCCTCAATATGAAATAGCACCAGCGCTGTTTGTTCACACTATATCAGCACAGTTCTATGTCATCATATGCCCTGCTTGAGCAACCTCATGCAATCCTTCAGGAAACAGAGGGCACAAACTGAATGGCTGTAGGTTTCAGGAAGTGTGGGGAGGTGTGCATAGAGCTGGCATGACCGGAAAATGTGTGTGGATTAGGTACAGTGCAGGGCTTGACAGGTAGGTCCCAAGTGTCAGGAAATACTGTAGTATAATAACGGAAAAGCAATGCATTGAGCAGTGTGAGAAATGGGTGGTGGGATGTGTCTAAGATATGGTAAGTCAGTGCATTTACTTACTCTGACCACATGAATGAGGCCACTAAACCTTCTTCTGCATTGTGGTCAAGACCTTTGGGCTGTAGTCTTGGCATTAAGCACCCCTGTCATCACGTTACCATTTTTGTCTGAGGCTCCACCTTGAAGATTTCCTCCTTCCCCTGCCCTTCACACTGAGGAAAAATGATGTCTCTCCTGGTGTCCAAAAGTCTTATCAGTACTTTCACTGCGGCATCACCGAAGCAGCCATCCAGTTTTCTGCATTTGGGATAACTCCCTTGGCTCCCAGTGTTCCAAAATGTTTAACCAGCAAGCTTCAGTCCATTACTGTAGTTTTCCCTTATAGGAGATTTTACTTTGATAAGGGAAGGATTCATGGACCATGTGGTTTGCTCCCACTATTTAACTCCCTGTGATGTGCAGAGACTGCCAGCAGTACTATACTGATTACTGTAGTACAGGATCTACTCACAACAACACTATATTCAAGGAAATGAGGTGGCTGCACCAAAGTTATTTGCTGCTTACACCCATTGGAAACAATATCGAACCAGTACAAATCAGCCAAAAATCCAGATGCACCAACTTCTAGTTCATAAGTCCACATCAGCTTTTTCAATTTTGCTTATCCTTGGTGCTATTGCTATTGTCTGAGATGAGATTGCTTAGGGCTCCTCTGCTAGCATTCCGCCAGGCAACCCTTCAATTCTCTTTAAGCACCTCATGATTATGAACCAGCTCAAGCTGAACTTTACTGCCTTCTTGTTTAGCTCTGCAGCTTCTTCTCTCTGCCTGATTCCAAACTATTCTGGCTTCAATTTTGAGAAAAGAGAGATAATCCTAACACAAAAGGGCAATCTAACCCTAGGACCCCAGAGTGCCTCAACAGTGATTTAAACCAATTACCACAATTTCCAAATCTGTTAAATGAAAAGTAAACTGAGAATTTATTTATTTACTTGTTGCTTTCATTTTTTTTGATCTGGGCTCACAAAGAATTTACAATCCATATCAAGCCAAGTGAAGACTCCAGTCTCTACCAAGACTCGGAAAGAAGTCACCTATTGTTTAACTAAGGTATCTGATTCTTACCTGCCCTCAGGGCAATTAGGGATGGGCAATAAATGCTAGCCAGTGACATTCTCATGAATGGAAATCTGAAACTAAAACAGAAATTGCTGGAGAAACTCAGCAGATCAAGAAATTTTAATCCTGATTTCTGAGGAAAGGTCATTGGACTTGAAATGTTAATTCTGTTTTCTCTCCATAAATGTTCCAAGACCTGCTGAGTTTCTCCAACAACTTCTGATTTCGTGTCATCGATTATGTACTG